CCCCAAAACCCCAAAACCCCAAAACCCCAAAACCCCTTTTCGAGTATTAACCATTGAACAATAATTTGAGTTCTTAACTATTAGCGAAGATGGCTTGAATAATTTATTGCTGAACCTTTGTAACCTTATCAATTTCTCCCCATCCAATAAGTCTCCAGTTCTTGACAATTTTTCTTGAAAGGGTGATCTTATCACCAACAGATGCACATGCAGGCATTAAAAATTGAATTTTAGCCATAGATTTCTTCTTCTCAATAACTTTTCCTCCAACAGAGTTAGCACTAATGTTGATCAATAGGATTTCCTCTTTCTTGAGAGAAGATACCTTTTCTTTCTTAGTATTATCAGAGACAACTCCGAGAAGTCTTCTGAGTAAATAGAATTTGATTACTACTTCTTCAACAACTTCTGGAAGCTTATTTGGGTGGCCCAAAAATTGTCCATTCAGATGGTCATCTCTAGTAAGAGAAGGGTCACATTTAAGGCCTACAGCTACGAGTCCTCCTGGCACAGCATACAAGAGGTCATTCTGCTCAGCCTTGAGGCTGACAATTCTTGACATTATTGAGGTGCATTTCCTCTTTCCTGTGTTTTTATCTTTTCCTGACATTCCTGGTCTGATTTCAACCTTCTCTCCAACTCTGAGTACACCTGAAAGGAGACTTCCTCCTACGACTCCTCCTTGGAGATCGCTTGGGCTTCATCCTGGCTTATTGATATCGAAACTTCTGACAATTGACATTTTAGGAGGGCAAGTGAAGTCACGGATAGGAATTGGAATTCTGCAAATGTAGTCACACAAGACATCAATATTATATCCAAGCTGGGCACTGATGGGAATAATTGGAGATTTCTCAGCCTTAGTTCCTTGCACAAAGTCCTTAATCTGATCATATTGCTGGCTCGCAGTACCATCCTTCATAATAATATCAATTTTGTTTTGCAGAATAATGATATGATCCAACTTCATGATTTCAATTGAGGCCAAATGCTCACTTGTTTGAGGCTGAGGACAGGTTTCATTTGCTGCAATGAGCAGTAAAGCTCAGTCCATGACCGAGGCACCTGTGATCATAGTAGCCATGAGCAAATCGTGTCCTGGACAATCCACAAATGAGATATGTCTGACTAACTTACAGATAGATTCGCATCCCTCAACTTTACATCTCATTGCATCTTCAGTATTGAACATGGCTGGGATAAATCATTGCGGAGGTGGGCAGGTTGGGCACTTAAAAATCTTTGCATTAGCATATCCCAGCTTAATAGTAATATTTCTCTTCTTTTCCTTTGAAGTCTTTACCGGATTGATGCCTGTCACTGCCTTTACGACTGTAGATTTACCATGTGCGACATGCCCAATAGTTCCGATATTTACAGTTGCTTGTCTTGAAATAACATCCTCTGATAAAGGAGTCAGGGTGTTTGGGTCAAAACCATCTAATGATTGTTGGGAAAGCTCTGGTTGTCTTCCCATTACTTCTTTTTGCTCCTCAGCAGAGGGCATAATAAAATCTGATGAATCCATCTTGTTATTGGATTATTTTATCTAATTATTTATTATAAATTTAGTATCGTGTTTCATTTATGGTAAAGGAACAGGGGTTTTGGGGTTTTGGGGTTTTGGGGTTTTGGGGTTTTGGGGTTTTGGGGTTTTGGGG